AGAAGGGAATTAAAATAAGTGCTGTTCAGTGCTATTCACCCGTCAAAGATAGCGATGAGGACGACAAAGATCAGTTCTGTGATAAGCTTCAATTGATCGCAGAGAAGAATCCAGGAAGAGATCTGACAATCCTGATGAGAGACCAAAACTCAAAAGTCAGAATGGACAACACCGGGTACGAAGATATTATGGGACGACATGGACTGACTGGAAGAAAGGAACGAGGATGGTGAGAGATTTTCAAATCTATGTGGATCTAACAAATTAGTTATAGGTAGTACAATATTTCCACACAAACCCATACACAAAACTTAACTGGTCTCACCGGACCACACCACCCAAAATCAGATCGATTTTATTTGCATCACTAAAACGTTCAGAAGGACAATGGAAGACGTGAGGACCATGGGCGGAGCTGACATAGCTTCAGATCATAACCTGGTTGTGGCCAAGATGAAGCTGAAGCTAGAGAATCACTGAAAACTGTGGTGACAGTATTACTAAGGTTCAATAGAGCCTTCACTCGACATACTGACAAACTCAACCAATTCAAGATAGCTCTCAGAAGCACGTTCCAAGCCTTACAAGATCTACTCGAAGAATAGGAAACTACTATGGAGAACTACTGGAAAGGAATAAAAGAAGCACTACATTCAACGTGCCACGATATTCTTGGACGCAACAAGCAATATCATAAGGAATGAACCTGTTTCGAAACCTTGGACAGGATTCAGTAAAGGAAGACAGCAAATAACAACAACCGAACAAGAATAGAGAAAGTCGAAACACAAGTCGAATACATAGAAGCAAACAAGCAATTGAAGAAGAGCATTAGAACCGACAAGCAGGAATATGTGGAACATCAAGCAACGACCGATGAAAAAGCTGCATGCGTAGGAAATATGAAACAACTATATGACACAATGAAGGAACTGGCAGGGAAATTTAGTAAACCAGAGAGACCGGTCAAGAACAAATAAGGCATTTGACTGTATGGATAGGAGAACATTATGGACATTACTTCGGTACTATGGAGTGAGTACTGAGGAAGATCATCAACAACATACGGATTTCATGCGACGGACTACACTACAAAGTCGTTCTTGGAGCACAGCTAACAAACGCATTCCAAATGAGAACCGGTACCAGTCAAGGCTACTCACTCTCACCTCTTATTCTCTCGTCTAATGGTTGGCCGAATTATGTAGGCTTCCACATCTCAGATAAAGCACGGAATAAAATTAACGGCTTCCACACAACTAGACAAGCACATTCCAAGTGAAGACCGGAGTCAGACAATGCTGCTTACTCTCCCTCTTTCTCTTTCTACCGGTATTCGACTGGATTATGAAGACCTTCACATCTGACGGGAAGCACGGAATACACTGGATAGCTTCCATGCAACTAGACAATTCGGACTTCGCAGATGGCCTAACACTTCTATCCCATACATGCAAACGAATGCAGGTCAAGGCAAGCAGTGTAGTAGCAGTCCCTACATCAGTAGGGCTCAACATACACAATGGAAGAAACAACACCCTCAAATTCAACATAGAAAACACCAATCAAACTAATCACGCTCGATAGAGAAACTCTGCAACAGGTGGAAACTTCCACCCACCTGGTCAGCAGCATCATCATCGATGTACAAGGAGGATCTGATGCACACGTAGAGACACGGATCGGCAAAGTAAGCACAACATCCCTACAGTTGAACAACATACGCAACTCCAAACAACTGTCTCTCAACCAACATCAAAGTCACAATCTTCAATGCGAACGTCAAGATAGACAGTCAGTCAGTCCTACTGTACGGAGCCGAAACTTTGAGAACTAGCACAACCATAATCAAAAAGGTACAAGTATTTCTAAACAAATGTCTGCTCAGGATACTCAATGTCCATTAGCCGTACATCATCAACAATAAACTACTATGGGAGAGAACAAATCAACTTCCAGCTGATGAGGAAATTAAGGAAGGATGTTGGAGGTGGTTAGGACATGCATTGTAGAAATCATCAATCTGAATCACTAGGCAAGCGCTAACTTGGAATCCTGAGGAGACTTGGAAAAGAGGAAGGCCAAAGAATACACTGCGTCGGGAATCGGAAGCAGATATGGAATTGTTTGATGATAGTAATCTGTTTTTTGTGCATGCAAACATTCGTATGCTCCTTGAGAGGATTACTTAATCATGTATAAACTGAGGTGTTTTAACTGTCGAATTTATAAAATGATTTTATTTAGCGTGTCCAGAACACTCAAATTTACAGTTATACAAACCTTTTCTTTAATGAATAAATACTAGTGTATCTACTCTTTATGACTGGTTATTGAAGATTGACTGATTCTATGAGTGTGAATATTATCACTTGCTCTTATACAGTATTCTATCAATGAAATTTTCTTTTTCTGTTTCCGAATACTATCCAGTGCGATCTAATTATAGTGAACATGGAATTATTGATCCACTCTTTTCTTATCTCTAGACGACAACACATAGCTACAATTTCAGTATTTGTTATTATTTAGAAAATCAAATCAATCAAAACATTATTCTAATGGGTCTCCTCTGGATTGTATCAATCTTACATGTAAATAATAGTTTTCCAGGTCTTCGTGCACAAATCTAATTTGCTCACTTCCTTTCAGGTTCTTCATTTCTTCTTACGAAATCTTAATACATGAATATAAAATTATATTTTCCTTCTTTTCTTTTAAATCTTCACGTCATCATTCATAAGATTAATTCATCATTGACCAAATAGTAAGCTAATGGCAGTTATAATCTGTTAAGGTTACCAGAACTAGACATCAAAACACGAGCATTCACTGTGACCTAAGTTTCGATTTATTTTTATTGACCAAATGAAAGGTCATCCATGCAGTGACCTTAGTAATAAAAATATAATTGACAAAAACATATGTGAATAAAGGCAATAGGCTCCTAGATGACTTATTGAAATTCCTAGCTGGTGGTTCGAAGAAAGATATGACTGAGTAGGCAGGAAATTTTGTCAGAATGAAATTGGGCGAGTTTTTGAAGAAAAAAGTCAATCGATTATATAATATATGATGAACTGACACCTCAAGGATCTAGGTTACCATTTTTGTATGAAATAGTAAAAATACATAAGCCTAATGTTCCAGTTAGACCACCATTATCACCGATTAATTCTCAATTTCATAAGATCTGTAGCGGTAAATAAATCCCCAAAATAAATAGCTCTGTAAGTTTTCGACATTGGATGCTGACCACATTAGTTTTAATTGACTCACCTAGCTGAAGGCGCTCGGTCATGCATCCGCACCAGATCACGTGTGGGAACGCCGTGCTCAACATCTACTACAATCGCTAGCCAGATTAGATCAGACGATTCTCGATATATTTATAGCCTATCACATATATCTTCGAACCTCCTCGCTTCTGTCTTTTGATTTCACTTGGTGGGTACGATTCATATTAGGTGTTACTGGTTAAGGCGTTGTCAAACTCCAAATACCTGTGGCATCTTTATTGGTGAGCCCGACGTGATTTCTCGATGGTTAACTAATCAGTTGGAACTGGTTCGTTCAAATTTATCTATCTGCAACTTGAAAGACACTAATTAATTTACTCAAATTCTGGAAAAGTTTGAACTTTTTGATAAATTCATGGTTTCGTTTGATAAATCATCATTATTTACCTCAATTCTATTAGGAGAAACTATACAAATTATACATCAACACGCTGTTTTACCTCCCATATCAGAGGACGGATTCAAGTAGATTTACTCATTTGTATCAAAGATATTCGACTTCAATTCAATAATGTCTTATATTTTCAAATTAATGGAGTGGCTATGGGTAGTCGTATAAGTTGGTAATTGTACGAGCAAATTTTTAGATTCCTCTACGACTATTGTTTCCCACTAACCTACATTTGGGTTCCAAATCTAATTTCAATCCAGATCTTTATTCATATAAATTATGTGTACTGTATTACTTTCTAAATTATTAATTGTTTCTAGTCTGTAAGGACCTGAGGAAAACCCATGAAATAAAAGAAATTAATTTAATTCTGACATGTTCGTTGATTTTGTTGTAGTCGAAGGATTAACTGTTAACAATTATTCAATTAAATCATTAGATACAGGTAAATATATGTTGAATAATCTGAGGATACAACCATTAGATGGTTCTATATGCGAAACATTTACAGCTAGAAAAAAGATGAGGAACTGGCTATTTCGACTGAGGTTATCTACAATGTTCTTATGGCTACTATATATGTCTTCCATAGCACACTCCCTTTTTCGCGTTCCTTTTCTGGGTGAGTGTCGGATGTCATAAAGCAGCTTTCATCAAACATTTCATTTCAAGCCATAAGTTTTATAACATTTATGTTTCTTATGAAGTAGATTGAATGTGCTTTCAGAATAGAGTTGTGGATAACTCCAGTCATCATTTCACTAAGTTCTCACTAGATTACAACTAACTCCTTGTTATCTGACCACCTGCGTTGACTAGATGCTTCTTCCCTAACTTAGCTATAAGACATGGGATTGAAATAAACTAAAATTGCTAGATTTTGACTATTTAGAGTACCGAGGGGAGATAATTTTGAGTACAGTGTTGAATAATGCAGTTTCAAATCTCCGAGAGGATATCAAAACACTTGAGATTATAGACGCATTTTGTAGAGGTTAATTTGTGTCACAGTTGACAAAAAATATCCTTATTTCAGATGTGTATTATTGAAAATAAAGTTGGGTACGGTCAACTGACTCGCATTGAGACGCTCAGTAAACACTGATTAAACCCTAACTACATTTCTTACTGAGCTGAAAAATTTCAGTTTTCTTAAGAAAAAAAATACTACCATTAGATTGGTAACAGTTCTAAAAATTTTCCTAACTGGTCAAATACTTGTTTTGGAGCCAAGAAAAATCCACTGATAAAATGCTAAATAGTTTACCTTGTCTGGTGGACAAAAATCGATATTGGTAATAACAATATATTTAATAGACACTATTGTTTCGATATTTCTAAAAAATATCTAGACATTTGTTAGATCTAAGTCGCATTATTGTTACCAGTAATCATAATAATAAAAACCACATCAACCAAATCCGGCGATTTAGCATAATAAATTAAATCTCTCGTTGGCATGTGATCAAACAACTTCCTAAACCATATTGATGAAAGTCACATAATACAGAGTCCTGTCTAAACAACTACAGGTTATGAGTGTATCGATTAAACAATCAATTAGTGTTGATATCAATCCTCCATATGTCTTCATATGCATGTCTATACTACTGACTTATGTGAAAACAGCAGACAATAGTTAAATTGCATGTTTTTTATAACTACCGGTCTTTATAGGAACTTGTTGTTCATTTGAACATGAACTTTGTCTGTTGATTTGCGAGCTATGTATTTTCTCTGAAACCCACAAAAGTGACTTTATAAAGACATAAGTGCGATATCTTCTATTCTACATATGTAGTTAGCAGACAAAATGCAATAAGGAGTATTTCGTTTATGGGACTGCTTTTTAATCCCAAAATAGCATTCATAAGTTTAAGTGGACAGGATAACATAACCTTTTAAGATGAAAATCTTTCTGTATCAAACTAATGTTGAGTTAAAATAAATTTTCAAAGGAAGAAATTCTTCTCTCTGATTATCTCATTATCAGAAGTTGTACGACCATATATTTGGTGAAAAAATGAAAGTTATGAATAAGTTTAGCATGAGTGGAAATCATCCAGTGCGGTGATGTCTAAATAAAGATAAATAAGTATTCAGACTGATTAGAAACTATGAGAAACTTGTAAGACTAAACTTTAAATACAACTACAAGATGAGAGATTTTGGTTCAATTTTTTAACCATAAGTCTAGTTGAGTTATCAAGTGCCCTATATAAAATCAAGTACTATAGTCTTTAACGTATATTCAATTTTTATAATGAATATTTTTAATGTTTGATATTCTTGATATATTTCCCTCTCGCGCGTATATTACGGTAATACATTAATAAAACTAATCACGTTATATCAGAACCAGGATTCACGACCTAAAATAGAGAACCAAATCAAGACCGGTCTTTACTTCGATCGAGTCTGTTAGCTGCCTCTATGCACGATTTTGCAGTTTCATCCGTCACAGGAATTCCGTATGATACTGACTACCTTCTCAGGCACGCCGTAGTGTTGAAGAAGCCTCCATAGTGTTGTCCTGTCCACGCTATCAAATGCTTTCTCGTAGTCAATGAAGTTAATATAGAGTGATGAATTTCATTCAATTGATTGTTCCACAATGATCCGTTATGTTATGATTTGGTCTGTACACGATCGATCCTTACGGAATGCAGTCTGGCGTCTACGGATTTCTTTATTCTGTTTAACAACACCTTGTTAAAGACTTTTCCTCGTATTGAGAGAAGAGTGATGCCTCCGTAGTTCTCACACTTGCTGAGATAGCCTTTCTTCGGTATTTTGATCAGAAGTCCTTCTAACCAGTTTGTTTGTACTTGTTCTTCATCTCAAATCTTATTGAAGAGAATGTGGAGTATCCTTGCATTTACTGCTACATCTGCTTTCAGTATCTCTGCTGGAATGTTGTCTGGTACCGCTGCTTTGTTGCTCTTGATTTATCTGACGGCCATGATGATATCTTCAATTGTCGGTGGGCCAACATTGATTGGGACGTCCGTAGGTGCCGCTTCGATTTTGGATGGGTTCAGTGGGGCTTGTTGACTCAAAAGTTGCTTGAAGTTTTCTACCCACCAGTTTCGCTGTTCTTCAATGTAGTGATTACTTTGCCTTCCTTGCTTTTCACTGGTCGTTCTGCTCTATGATAATTTCCAGAGAGCTTCCTTGTTACGTCATACAACTGTCTCATGTTTCCTTCTCTTCCAGCCTTTCCTGCCGTCATTGCTAGATCTTCCACTTATTTACGTTTGTCAGTTCTGATGCTCATCTTCATTTTCTTGTTTACCTCTGTGTATTCAGCTTGTGCCTCGGCTTTCTCTGCTTATGTTCGGCTGAAATTGATTTCTACATTCTTGTTCCTTCTTTATTGAATCTCATCCAGTGTATCAACAGTGGTCCATTCTTTGTGATGGTGCTTCTCATGGCCCAGAACCTCATGACATGTTGAATTGATTGCCTCTGTGATCCCCTTCCAGTTGCTCTCCACAGTAGTTCCATCTCCATTGAGTAGATCATGAAAGACCTGGAACTTATTGCTGAGGACTATCTTGAATTTGTTGAGTTTGTCAGTATCCTGAAGAAAGGCCGTATTGATTTTTTGTAATATTAGCCGCCCCGTTGTCCAGTACTTCTTGAGTTTCGATTTCATCTTGGCGACCAGCAAGTGATGATCTGATGCTATTTCAGCTCCTCTCTTGGTTCTCACGTCTTCCATCGTCCTCCTGAACTTTTTGTTGATGCAGATATGGTCGATTGGGTTTTGCGTAGTGTGATATGGTGAAGTCCATGTGATTTTGTGAATGCGATTATGTGAGAATATAGTGCCGCCTATGACCAGTTTATTGAAGGCACATAGGTTTGCAAATCTCTCACCATTTTTGTTCCTTTCTCCCAGTCAGTCCATGTCGCCCTATGATGTCTTCATAGCCGGTGTTATCCATTCCAACCTTGGCATTGAAATCTCCCATCAGAATGGTCAGGTCCTTTGTTGGGCACTTCTCGACGATTGACTGCAGCCTATCGTTGAATCGATCTTTAGCGTCTTCATTGTAGTCGTTGGTAGGCGCATAGCATTGGATGACGTTCATTGCAATGCCCTCTTTCTGTGTTTTGAAGGAGGCTTTGAAGATCCTTAGTTCATGAGATTCCCATCCTATAAACGCTTCTTGTGCTTGTTTTGATGGCATCAATACAACTCCTTGTGTATGTGGAGCATTTTTTTCTTCATGACTGGAGTACAACAGAAGCTCTCTTGAAGCTAATTGTTGTCCAACCTGCGTCCAGTGAGTTTCACTGATTCCAAGCACCTCCAGGTTGCATCTCTTCATTTCTGCAGCAACTTGCGAGACTCGCCCGGTCTTCCACATTGTACTGAGTAAGCGAAGCGTACTGTCAAAATCCCTAGAATAAAACTATTTTTTTTAATAAGAACGGTCTATGACTGAAACCAATATTATACTATGAATCAATATTGTGTGAGAGATTTTAAATATTGATTAAAATCCAGAAAATAGTTACCAAACTAATTCAGTGAGTTAACCTCTGATCTAATTTCAGCTTCAAAATTGTACACATTTTTCGTTACCTTTTCTAAGTTTGTGATCATATAGTTCCGACCGTTGCTGCTAGCTTGAAGGGGTGGTCGGGATGGCCTATCATGATGAACCAATCGAGCTATACTGGCATTAACAATCGTTCCTCAAGGTCCTAACATACCAGACAGATCGGGTGAGGAGCAGTAAGACTAAAAGCAACAAACCCAAGGTGCGAAGGCGAAGTCGTACTCCTGACGGTACAGAGGTGTGACGGCAGTATGATGGATCATTCAGAAAACCAGCATAACAGTGGTGCCGCCTTCCCACAAGGATGGACCGGGTTAGAAAAGGTCGTTCCTAAAAATACACATCTCGCGTTATCTCACGGAGGTCCGTCTTCGGTGATAAGGTCTCAACAAATACGGAACTAACACAAAAATTGTTGTGTGGTCGATCTCAAGCAGTTGTACCTTAGGCACAACAGTCACGCTCTTAGGTCCAACCCCAACCCAATTTCCTTTTCAGATACCTCCAGAAGAACCCTTCCACTGTGTGGGCAGCTGAGAAGTGATGACTGCCCTTAGACCTCTAACTGCACTCAAGACCACTATATTCATAATCAATCTCCTTCTTCAATTGCTATTATTCCTCCTACGTTAACTTTCAAATCTAGCCGACGTTCAGAAAACTATAGCTAATCTGAAACGAGGAAGACCAGATGGTCCAAATCGATTGGCTCCAGAGGTATTTAAGGATAGTGGTCCAATTTTAGCGATTAGGCTGATCAATATTTTGGCTAGAATTTGGGAGTTGGACGTAATCCCATCTGACTGGTCACAATCACTGATTGTCCCAATATATAAGGGTCCAAATCATCCTGTGACAACCATAGAGGGATTGGTTTGACTAATATAGCATCTAAAATACTAGCCTCAATAATTATCGGACGCCTAACAAAGACTCATGAACTGCAAACACGAGAAAATCAAGCTGGCTTCAGACCTGGTTGTGGCTGTATTGACCACTTATCCACCATTCGCCAGGTTCTAGAACACAGGCATACTTATCAGCGTTCGAAAATGGTGGTTTTTCTTGACTTAAAGGCAGCATTTGACACTGTCCGTGACTGTCATTGAAAGGTACAACTCAGAAGTACATAAAAATTGTGCAGGCTATTTACTCGAGCACTACCAGTCGGGTCAGAGATTACGGTGAACTGCCATCTGAATTTAGAACTGCAAGTGATGTCTGGCAAGGCTGTCCATCATCTCCATTGTTGTTTAGTTTTATCATAAACCCATTACTGGGAATAACGTTATCTTCGTCTGAATTTTCGGGACTTGAACTAACAGGAGATCCACTTATTGACTTATAATATACACATGACACAGTCCAGTCTAGTAGAAACACTGATACCGGTCTTAATAAACATTCGATGTGGAACCTCTGTAGGACCTATGCACAAAATTTCTAACTTGAAAATAGCATTATAAAAGCCTGGACCAAACACGTACTGTGAGACCGATGAGAATATCAATAAACTGGGTGCTTTTGGATGGAGAGGGGTGTGCCACAGTGCCTCACTCCAACATTACTCAACGCTAACGAAGTGGGACATTTCTTAATTTTGTTTGAAGACTAAATATTCCCTAAGTAGTGTGTAGTGACACCGATAAGACAGACCTCCAAAATGATTTGGGCGAATTACTTGGACTGTCCAGAAGTTAGTACCTAAAGATAATCTCTAAAGTGTACTGACCTAAGTCGTATAGGATAATTGCCTTCGAAATAAGTGCGCGGCACAGGAAACGACCTCCGTCACCACGACTAGCATTGATTTGGCAACAGATTAGATCCAACTACCTATAAAGCGAGCAAGTCACAATTCACTCTAGAATGATTTCATCATAAGAACTGAAACCCTAGAATGCCTGATGACCATCTATGCGTGGATCTATTTTGCGAACCAGAACTCTCTAAAGCTGAACACTTAACAAACGAACCTCTCGTGCAACACAACATACCTTCGATGCGTAGAAAATACCTTCAGGAAACGAGAATTAATACCGTGTACCAACCTGAAGATTAGTGGTCTGGAGGTTTAATCCCATTAACAAAAGCCATCTTAGTTTCCTGGTGTCATTATCTATTGGCATAACGGGATAAGCAGCTGGAAACCCGCGGATGAATCCTCAAACTGAAATGTTATACGAGTAGAGACAGCAATTTACATCGAAAGTACCCTCACAATAATACTGTACAAAAAATCTTTCAGTTAAGTTCGCCGTTTCAACGAAACGGTTTATCCACGCATACGACAGCTGAACAACCTGGGCTTAAGACCCCAGACGGCCTACACGGATCCTTGTTACACTAGCAGGAACAAACGACATTTCCTTGATTAGCAAAGCATCAGAACCCAGGAATAACGCACACTGAAATCCAAAACTCAGACCGTGTCACCCAGACCTAATATAACAAGGCCCCATTCGACTTAGTACAACACAAGTGACGCATAAACAAGAATCCGCTCGACATAACCTAAACAGTCCACAAAACTACTTAATCAAATATACAATACTAAACACAAGATTTGATCAAACAATTTTAGAAAAGCAGTTTTTATCCAATAAGTTTAATTGGTATACTAAAACGTATAAGTTACTTTTTCTTTGTAGCCTTTGCAGCAGACTTTGTAACTTTAGCCGCATCAGCTTTCTTGACGACACTTTTAACGACACCGACAGCTACTGTTTGCTTCATATCTCGAACAGCAAAGCGACCGAGTGGTGGGTACTCCTGGAATGTCTCAACACACATGGGTTTGGACGGTACAAGTTTCACGTTCGCAGCGTCACTATTTTTAATGAACTTTGGATTTTCTTCAATCACCTTCCCTGAACGTCGATCAAGCTTCTCGGTTATTTCACTAAATTTGCAGGCAACATGTGCAGTATGACAATCAAGGACTGGAGAATAGCCATTTTTGATCTCACCTGGATGATTCATGACAATTACTTGCGCCATGAAACTTTCAGCTGCTTTAGGAGGATCATTTTTGGAATCACCTGCAACATTGCCGCGACGGATTTCACTGACAGGCACGTTCTTCACATTGAATCCAACATTGCTTCCAGGGAGACCTTCGGTGAGTGCTTCGTGGTGCATCTCGACTGACTTGACTTCAGTTGACAAATTTTGCGGAGCAAAGGTGACGACCATACCAGGTTTTATAATTCCAGTTTCTACGCGACCAACAGGAACGGTACCAATGCCACCAATCTTGTAAACATCTTGTAGTGGTATTCTCAATGGTTTTTCAGTCATTCTTGTGGGTGGATTCATCTTATCTATTGCTTCTATTAATGTGAAGCCACTGTCAGTAACATTCTTTCCATCCTTTACTCTAGTAACTTCCCAACCCTTAAACCAAGGCATGTTTGTACTCCTTTCTACCATATTATCACCATGCCAGCCAGAGATCGGCACAAATGGAACAGCAGCGGGATTGTACCCGACTTTTTTAATGTAGCCGGACACTTCTTTGACGATTTCTTTGTAGCGATCTTCAGAGAAAGGTGGTTCAGTGCAGTCCATTTTATTAATTGCGACAATCAACTGCTTGACACCCAACGTGTATGCCAACAATGCATGTTCTCTTGTTTGACCATTCTTGGAAATACCAGCTTCAAACTCACCAACACCAGCCGCAACAATCAGCATTGCACAGTCAGCCTGACTTGTTCCTGTGATCATGTTCTTGATGAAGTCACGATGGCCAGGCGCATCAATAACTGTGACTTGGTACTTATTGGTTTCGAACTTCCACAGTGCAATATCGATTGTGATACCACGCTCGCGTTCTGCTTTCAGTTTATCCAGTACCCAAGCATATTTAAAAGAACCTTTACCCATCTAAAGCAGCGTGACTAGGATATGATACACTTACCTCAGCAGCCTCTTTCTCAAACTTTTCGATAGCACGTTTGTCAATGCCACCGCATTTGTAAATGAGATGACCGGTAGTAGTGGATTTCCCACTATCTACATGTCCTATAACCACTGCGTTGATATGATCAGGCTGAGCACTCATATTCGCAACAGTAAACGGAGAGAACACGCCAACAGCACGCAACCAACTCTACTGATTTGCCGATGCAGGCGGAAGATCAGTTAGGATAAACAAAACCCTAATACAGACAAAGTGGTTCAACCTCCAATCAATTAATCATAAAAGGTTTCATTGTACACAACACAAGTTACAAAAGAAAATCTCTGATACATATTTGAACATAGAATCAGAGCGTTTGTGACGTAGAAGACAGGTTTTTGGTCTAAATTATCAAAATGGTTTTGAACGGAATATAAGCTTACGCCTAACGGGCTTCCGTGTCTAGTAGCAGTGGATCACCAATACCTCTAAGTAGAAATCTACGTATATTAACGATAAAAGAGGAAAAAAATTGGTAAATCATAGTAAAGTACTATCATTAATCCTTAATAATAGGTCAAGTTGCCTCTTAAAGGACTCTTGAGAAGTAGCTTGGACTAGATCAGCCGGCAGCTAATTCCAGCATTCGACAACTCTTAAGAAGTACAAGTTGTGCCTACAGTCCGTTCTGCTGTGTTTTGTCGCTAGTTTCTGGATGTTACCCCTTAAGTTTGTGTTGGAGCTAAACTTAAGTAGATGTTTAAGGGGATGTCCAGAGGTGTTAATTATGCTGTAAGCCATTAGAAGATCAACTCTAAGACGCCTGTACTCTATTGGGCAAAGTCTTAGTGACTGAAGGCGCTCCCCATAAGGCTTGAATTTGGGTCCCCGAAGTAATTCCGTGGCTCGCCGTCGGATACGCTCCTTATCATTTTGGAGTGAGGGAGGACATACTATGTTCCCGTACTCTAAATGGGGACGAATGAAACTGTTGAAGATTATTTGGAAAGTTCTTCCGTCAAACTGGCCAAAATGCGCTCCAATGTTACCAGTGCAAAGTTTTCTCGGAAGGCATTTTTGTCACAGTTAGCGTAAGACTTCAAATCGTAGGGTACCAGCACTCCTAAATCTTTTTCAACTTGGGATACTTTTAGAGAGGAGTTTCCTAAGTTGTAACTGTAGTCTACAACATGTCTCAGACGGACTACTTTACACTTTGAAGTGTTGAAGGCAAGTCCGTTGTTGTCTTCCTAACTTTGAAGTCGAGTCAGATCCTCCTGAAGTGCCAGTATATCCTCTTGGTTGCGTATCTCTCTCCAAAGTTTCACATCATCGGCAAAAGTGATGAGTCTGACGACACCCGTTGTGAAAGATCATTTATTTAAATCAATAAATATAGGGGTCCTAGCACTGAACCCTGGGAGACCCCACTAGCACATTCCATAGCCTGAGAGAAAATGAGGTTAACCCTAACCTTAAAATGTCGATTTTTTGAGAAGTGAAGTGAGTCAATCAATCAAAGGTGATTTGATACCTTGACGCGCTTTTCGAACGGGAAGTTTAGTCCTAACGTGATTTGCATATATCAAACTTTTGCTGTGTTCTTACGCAACAAAAGTACCATTTCAGTTCTAAAGAATCTATCCTGAGCTATACGTTCGGTAGATTACTTTTTTTTAGTTTCACTATATTTAATAGTTACCTGTGGTTTTGCCTCAGCTTACTATTCGGTTTTTTTTGTTTTTCACGTATAGACTAGTTTGAGTTTATATCACTCGTTTTGTCCATTTTTGTCCGTTTTCAGTGTGCTTTTTAGTGTTTTTTTAAGAAGGTCTTAGGCTCTTGCAAGCATCTATAACATAGTTTGCTTCAACACCGTCATGAAAAACTCATGCAAACGTCCGGGATGCCGTTTTGCTGTCACAACTGGCATGCAGTGCGACAACTGCAAAGGTTGGTTCCACGAAGCATGCACAAATCTGACAGCAACTGCTTACAACAGACTCAGCAAGTCAGACCAAAAGTGGGTATGTGTCACGTGCAGCATGGACGCAGTAGTCTTGCTGAGTAACATCATTGTCCTACTGACAGGTCTTCGGAACAAGCTGTCAGTTAACTTGGAATACGATAGTAAAAAAACCGATATACAAACAAGAGCGCGCAACGGACTCAAAAATAGGGATGTCGATAGGTATACCATCGATGGAGCATCCATCAACACTAATGACGACGTGTCGAGGCTCAGTACCATGATTACGTCGACGGTGCTAGACTCCTTAAGCAAACTCGGGTCTCCCAGCTCAGGGTCCCTGAACACAACAGTGGTTCCCAAAAACCCTGCAGGTGATTCGACCCACGTTAAGAGAGCCCAAAAGAACCAGGCATCACCGCCTAAGCCGAGCAACCCAAGTGTTGCTGCACGGAAAATAACTGGTGATTTAGTCGCACAGTCTACCCCCAAGACTGTTCGTCCGGTCAATAAAGAGCCCAAGATTCATAAACGCACACTGACCTCCAAACAACAAGTTATTAAACCTGAACCCATCGTGAAACCTGGTAAACTAACAACAGTTCGTGACGATTCTCTCATTATCATGAACCTCGTTGACAATCCTGTCCTTCCTCTCAGTCTGCAGGACAAAACGACAGGATGCTGTGGGGTGAATTGAACAAGAAGCTCGAACTTCCTAGAATAGAGCCTTTGACGGTCACCCGGCTCACTCGAGGAAAGGATTCTAAGCATCTAAATCACCCGAGGCTTCTCCGAGTAACACTTAAGAATGCTACCGACGTAGAGGACGTCTTGCTAGCAAGTCACTTACTGAAACCAGATGGTAACGTAAGAATATTGCCCGAAATACCGTACTCTGAGCGCAATATCATACGAAACGTCCCTAAAGAATCTCGCGAGAAGTTTTTCCGCGGAAGAAACATAATTGTCCAAGGTATACCGGAAAATGCAGACCCTACTCAATCAAATTCTGACATCAGGGAATGGACATTCATCAAACAGTCCTTGAGGCTCAAACACATACTGACTCAGCATGTGACGAGACTAGCCAAGAAGGACGGTGATCTTAGACCCCGTCTAATGAAGATAACCTTCCATCTTCCCACATGGCGGCTGCAGTTCTGGAAGCATTTCGTGCTAATAGACGTTGATTGCCACCTGGAATCCACATGCACCCGGATAGGCCATACGAAGTCAGGACCAAGAACAAAGGCAAGTTGGAGCTGACCATTCCACTTGTGGACTGTCTAAACGATAAAAAAACGTGTAAAGGACAGGGCCTACCACCTCGGCAAACCTCATATAGGTGGGCTACCTGTCCATTCACATAAGGTTCATACAGAAAAACAGGACGAAGCTCACGCGTTCCAAATTGAAAGCATAAACTGCTTATATATGAACGCCGCGAGTCTATCAAACAAACTGGATGAACTACGTGAACTTAGCAACGCTAATAAGGCCCATCTGATAGGAATATCTGAAACCTGGATATCTTCTCAGTTCTCGGACCAAGAGTTAGCATTACCTGGGATGACTTTGTTCCGCAACGACAGAAAAACAGGAATTGGGGGCGGAGTAGCCATATACATAAGCTCTTGCTTGGAGGTGCACCAGGTTCACAACCTCGAGTTTAACAATCTTGAGGAATCCTTATGGTGCTCTGTAGGATTGTCTAGTACTTCCAGGTGTCTAGTCGGAGTCATTTACAGGAAGCCAACTGCCGACACCGAGTACGATAGTCGTATGCTGGAAGGACTATCCCGCTCTATCCGTCTCGGTTTCACACACATCCTGATTCTAGGGGACTTTAATCTCCCTAGAGTCAACTTCGCGGAACACACGTACACTGGAGGCGACAACTCAACTGAAGCTCGGTTCTTCAACCTCATCGATAACTTGGGCTTATATGAAAATGTGAGGTCGGCAACTCGTTGCAGAAACAGTCAGACACCATCGCGCTTAGACTGTGTATTCACTAACGAAGAATTCCTAGTCGACAACCTCTCAATCCTGGCTCCTCTGGGAAAGAGCGATCATACCGTCATAGCCTTCAGTTTTGTCATCAAAACTAAGCTAAGGTATCCCAACAATAATTTGCGTTGGAATTTTAAACGGCTGAATGTGCCAGCTCTACATGACTATCTACAACAGGTGGTTTGGGATGTTCACCCTCAACTCGATGTGGATGGTCATTGGGACTTCTTACTGCACACGCTCTTATGTGCTACAGACCATTCAGTTCCTCAAACGGTTCCCAAAAGCTGCAAGCCACCTACAGTAATCAAGAACCGTACCCTTTGCCTGCTAAGCCGAAAAAGACACTGTTGGGCGGAATACAAACGAACTAATAACGATGGAGCGTATAGGCAATATAAACATATCAGGAACATATGCACGAAGGCTATAAGAGAAGACAGGCTTCAGTACCAAACAAAGCTTATGGACAAATTCGCCTCTAACCCTAGAAGCCTATTCCGTTATGCAGCCTCTCTCCGTGAAGCCAAAACAGGAGTTTCTCAACTGCTAGGTCTTAACGGCCCGACCAACAATGATGGCGACGCCGCTAACCTTCTGGCGGCACATTACTCTCAAACATTTCAACCGGCTGACATCAACTTTATTGACGACAGTTTCATCTGCAATTCCACAGGACTTTCTGAAGTGGACCTAAGCGCTGACTTGGTGTTCCGGAAACTGCAGCATTTAAGACTTGACACTTCTCCTGGCCCGGATACGGTTCATCCTGCCATACTGAGGGAGGCAGCCTCAATCCTGGCGACGCCGCTTAGCGTGATGTTTTCACACTCGCTTAGCCGAGGCAAATTACCGGAAAATTGGAAGTTGGCTCACATCACACCAATTTTCAAAGGTGGTCGACGCAATGAACCTTCAAGTTATCGGCCGGTGGCTCTTCTGTCATTACCTTCAAAACTCATGGAGTCCCTGATATGCGACGGTTTAAACGACTATCTACTGTCCTTAAATTTCTTCTCACCCCAACAGCATGGTTTCAGGAAGGGTTACTCTTGTATAACCAACCTGCTGACTGCGGTGGACAGATGGACAAGCATCTTCGATTGCAAGGGAAAGGTTGATGTCATTTACCTTGATTTCTCAAAAGCTTTTGATAAGGTTAACCACTTGTGTCTTA